ACCTTCCACAAGAAGCCCAACCCCGGAAGCCCAGGGCATCGTCCATCTGTTTTTGAAGTGGGAACGTCACGTACTCGATCGCAAAACCATCGAAACCCAGGAAACCCAGGGCACCCTCGAGGCAAGCAGGAAGTTCCTTGGCATGGTCTCCATTGTATGATCCCGCATCCTTGTCGATGGCCCACAGCGGCTTGCCGGAGGGCAGTCTGGCCTCGCCCCAGCCCGCGAGCTGCACCACCCTCCACCGTCGAGCCTGGGCAGCGACATATAGGAGCCCCATCCCCCAGCGACCCTCGACTCTCTCCCCGATCGACGGGGGGCGGGGGGGCACCCCCAGCGACCCTCGACTCTCTCCCGGATCGACGGGGGGCGGGGCCAGGGCTCAGACTCCGCCGCGTGCTCGCCGAACTCCGAGCCCTGCCCGCGCCGCACGTCGAGCCGCCCGCGAAGCCTTCCTCGGCGGGGGCCGGGCTTCGGGTCAGGTCGGGCGTCTCCCCCTGCAGGCGGACTTTGAACGACAAACTTCAAAGACCTTAGAAATGCCCCAAAATGGCCAAAAGAGTACTCAAAAAATCGTCCCCAGGCTATGTTCTGCCTGTTCTTGAACGTTCCTCCTGTAGGGCGACATGCCCGACGTCAGCTTCGGGCTGCGCCGCCGCGGAGCCTCCACGAACACGGGCGAGTCCGCGGCCTCCGCCACGGCCTGAACGGCGCGCTCCTTCCCGATCTGGTAGGCCCCGACCACGAAGAGCGTCCGGGGCTCGCGCGCCAGCTCCCGCCGCGCCAGCTCGGCAAGCCACCGGCAGGCGACGGCCTGCGGCGGGAAGCGCCAGCGCTCGCCGCAATCGCCGGAGGAGGGCCGGCTGCCTGGGCGAGCCCAGGCCTCCCCTGCCTATTGAAGAGCGGCTTTGCACTGGAAGGGTCCAGATAGACCCCTCCAGCTCAGTCAGCTTGAGACGTTGCTCCTCCTCCTCCTTCTCCTCCTCCTCCTCCTCCTCCTCCTCCTCCTCCTCCTCCTCCTCCTCTTCCTCGTCCTCCTCCTCCTCCTCCTCCTCCTCCTCCTCTTCCTCCTCCTCCTCCTCCTCCTCCTCCTCCTCCTCCTCCTCCTCCTCCTCCTCCGCGTTGAGTTTCTCGAGACAGGGGCCCTGCCTCGAGGAAATCCATGCGGATGCTTTTCTTGTGCAGGGCTCGGCCCTCACTGGCCCTTGGGGCCGCCAAAGCACCACTCAACGTGCCGAGCCGGTGCCGGAGCAGAGGCCCAGACCTCTGGGGACCCCGCCCGCATAGAGAAACTCCAGGCATGCCAGACCCGCAGAGGTCATGGTTTATGTCATGACGTCGACCCCCAGAGGTCTCGACCCACTCCCCGGGGCCGACTTCTCATCCTGAATCGCTGTTTGACGGCCCCCGCGGCCCGGTTTCGGCATCCACGAGAGCCGCGCGGAGCGCCAAAAGTGTATGTCAGTGGCGTTTTGTCTTCTTCGACGGATGTCTGGGATGGCGGTTCTCCCACGGCCCCTGCGGCACCTGAAGGCACGGACGCGCCCATGGCAGCGCGACTCTTTCGTGTTCCTCCTCCTCCTCCTCCTCCTCCTCCTCCTCCTCCTCGTCTTCCTCCTCCGCCTCCTCCTCATCCTCCTCCTCCTCCTACTCTTCCTCCTCCTCCTACTCTTCCTCCTCCTCCTCCGCCTCCGCCTCCGCCTCCGCCTCCGCCTCCTCCTCCTCCTCCTCCTCCTCCTCCTCCTCCTCCTCCTCCTCCTCCTCGGGATGGCGGCTCTCCCGCCCGACGCACCTCCGCTCAGGGTCCGTCTCTCGGGGCAACCTCTCCATGGGGCCCGCCCTGGCGCGCCTTTCTTCCCGGCGCGGGCCTGGGCGTGGCGACGAGGAGCCCCCGGCGCCAGGAGGCCCCAGCCCCAACAAGACCGTGTGGCGACGAGAACTTCTCGTCGCCACACGGTCTTGCCGCACTCGCTGAAAGAAGCGCCGCGGGTAGACACCCCACAGAAGCAAATTAGGTCGCAACCCCAGCTCGGAGCGCAGTACATGCGCGTTTCCCTCAAAGACACATCGTTTCGGCGTCGGTCGGCAAAATCAGGGCGGCCAGTTGTCCCCCGGCGGTTTTCCTCATGAGAAGCCCCCAGCCACGAGCCCCTGGTCGCGACAACGGCGGCCCTGCCCTGGCGCTCTTCCTCCTCGCTGCAAGAAGGAACAGAGCCAGGAGAGGCCCGCGGCTGTCTCGACCTGCCCTGAGATCCGGCGCTGCAGAGACGGTGCAACATCGCGAAAGACTGCGGTCGGAGCCCTGGGCCCCACCTGTTGCGCCACTCTTCGCGCACGATCGGCCCGTCCTGGCCCCCGAGGCCTGACGCAGGGCGACAGCGCGCGGTGCCCCAAAGTGGCGGCGCCCGGGATCTGAGGGAGTCCTGCCGCTTCGCGCATGGAGGCCCCCGGAAGCCCCCGCCCTTTCCTCGGGACCGGCTATTCATCCCCAAGTGCTGCTCGACGGCCGCAGAAGGCCAAGATCTTCTTAAAGATCCGGGCCGGGCCAAACTTGCCCGAAGGGCCAGAAGGCCCAGATCTTCTCAAAGGCCCGCGAGGGCACCCAACAGGCCGAGAACGGCAAAAAACCTCCCGCCGTGACGTCTCCACGACGCGAGCAGGTCTGGCAGAGGGGGCCGGAGCATCGCGCCGCATCGCCGCTGCATCGCCGATGCGTCGGCGACGTATCGGCGATGCACCGGCGATGCGTCGTCGACGTCGGCGCTGCATCGGCGACGTCGACGTGAAGCAAGTGGGGCTCCGCATCGAGCCGCACCGGCGATGCATCGCCGACGCATCGGCGCTGCGGCGCGATCCTCCGACCCCATCGGGCCTCCGGCGGCCGCTCGGGGGCCCCGGGGGTGCCTCGGCGAGGCGCAGGATACCGCAGGAGGGCACCCCGAGTGTGGCAAGCCTTCCTGGCGCAGCCTGCTGTGGAGGCCCATGCCAAGAAACACCCCGCTCTCCAGAGTGCCCTGGGTTTCCTGGGCTCCGATGGCTTTTGCTGAGGAGTGCGCGACGCTCCCACACCAAAAGTCCATGGACGCCCTGGGGCCTCAGGGTTGGGCTTCTCGTGGAAGGATTCTCGTGGTCGGGCTCCTACTGTACGACTATGTTGCTCCCATCGTGCTCAAGGACCACATCCCAGAAATACTTTCGAGCGCCCGGAAAAGTGTCGAAACAGTGTTGGACGAGTGTCTCCCAGGGCTCGACACGTGAAAACCGAGAGCTTCGGCTCTTTTTTGCTGCTCGAAATTCTTCCTGGTGGTCAAGGCTAAAAGTAGGTTGGCACGTCACAACTGCACGACGAGATGCCAAAAACCCGCGGAGTTCGAACCTCGGCGACCCGGCCCTGCCCCTCCTCCGAAGATAGGTCGTGTCCAGCAGCAGGTGCGCGACGCGGCGCCCGGCCAGCCACGCGGCGAGCCCGCGGCGCATGGCCTCGGAGGCCCTGCAGTCGCCCGTGTGGACCGTCACCTCGCCCGCGCCGCTGGGGCCAGCCTCGTCGCGGGACGCCGACGCCGACGCCGACGCCGCCGACGACGCCGACGCCGACGCCGACGCCGACGCCGACGCCGACGACGCCGACGACGACGACGACGACGACGAGGACGAGGACGACGACGACGACGACGACGACGACGACGACGACGCCGACGCCGACGCCGACGCCGACGCCGACGCCGACGCCGACGCCGACGCCGACGCCGACGACGACGACGAGGACGAGACGACGACGACGACGACGACGACGACGACGACGACGACGACGACGACGACGACGACGACGACGACGACGACGACGACGACGGCGACGACGGCGACGACGACGACGACGACGAGGACGACGTCGACCTCACCTCCCGCCGCCGCCAGGGCCGGCCTCGCCGAGGGGCTCGAAGGCCACCAGGGCGCTGCCCGGGCAATGATCGGCGTCGAGGAACGTCAGCCGGGCCCCGCCCACCTGACCCGAATCTCCCACGGTGTGGCTATCGTCCAGTCGTGAGCCCGCCGCGTGCCTGACCCCGCCGGTCTCCTCCTCCTCCTCCTCCTCCTCCTCCTCCTCCTCCTCCTCCTCCTCCCCTCTCCTCTCCTCTCCTCCTCTCCTCTCCTCTCCTCTCGTCTCCTCTCCTCTTCTCTCCTCTTCTCTCCTCGTCCTCTCCTCCTCCTCCTCCTCCTCCTCCTCCTCTTTCCTCTTCTCCTCTCCCCTCCTCCTCCTCCTCCTCCTCCTCCTCCTCCTCCGCTCCTCCTCCTCCCTCCTCCTCCTCCTCCTCCTCCTCCTCCTCCTCCTCCTTTCCTCCTCCTCCTCCTCCTCCTCCTCCTCCTCCTCCTCCTCCTCGCACACCCTCTCGCCGCCCCTGGCCACCTCCAGGGGCTGCCCCAGCGGGGCCGCGCGCACGCGCGCCCGGTCCACGCCAGTGAGCTCCGTGATGAGCGCGGCCGTGACCTCGGGCGCGGCGGGCCAGGGCGATGCTTTCCCTTCCCCCTCCCACTTAGCCAGTCCCCTCCTATCGTTGTGCCCCCCAGGAGCTTGTTCGAGTTGCCAGAGGCCCTTGCGGAGCAGCGGCGACGCAGCATGTCCCGCTCGTCCCTCTTCTGCTGCTCATCCTTATCCTCCTCCTTCTCCTCGCCCTCCCCCTCCTCCTCGTCCCCACCCTCTATCCTCTCTATGATCATCCCCGGCGCAAGTCTCGAAGATGCGCTTTCTTGTTGCGTCCGCGGCGAGGCGGAAGAGCTGCACCGGCGGGCGGCGAGCCGGGGGCGACCGCTGCGCGAACGGGCCTGCGTGCAGAGAGGGGGAAAAAGGAGGGGCGGGCGGCCACGGAGGGCTCGAGCGGGCGGGTGCGGCTGGCAACGGCAGCGGGGCAGCCTGGAACACACGTCCAAAGGGTCGTGAACCGCTGTCCCCCCAGATGCGACCGTTGCAGTTTCGTGCGGCGCTTCGACGTGGGACGAAAGGGGGGGGGGGGAGGGGGAGGGGGGGGGTCTGGCTCTGGACCTCTGCTTCGTGCGACGGCCTTCGCGCCCTCGCGGGCAGGTTTGCGCTGGACCGGATCGCGAAATCGGATCGGAATCGGATCGGCATCGATCGGAAATCGAATCGGAATCGGATCGGATCGGATCGGAATCGAAATCGGATCGGAATCGGATCGGAATCGGATCGGATCGGAATCGGATCGGAAATCGAGAGCGGATCGGACCGCCAGCGGAGCGTCCCGGATCGGATCGGCATCGGATCGCCGCGCCCCGCTTCCGGCTGGCCCTGGCCGATGCCAGTGAGTGGAGCCGGACCTCCTCCTCCTCCTCCTCCCTCCTCCTCCTCCTCCTCCTCCTCCTCCCCTCCCCCTCCCCCTCCTCCCCTCCTCCTCCTCCTCCTCCTCCTCCTCCCCTCCATCCTCCTCCTCCTCCTCCTCCTCCTCCTCCTCCTCCCTCCTCCTCCTTCCTCCTCCTCCTCCTCCTCCTCCTCCCCCTCCTGTGCTGGAATGCGTTTCCGGTCCTGGTTGCGCAGTCGTGCAGCTTCGCCCCGAAGTTCAGCCCAGGCCGGGACGCACGAGGCGCGATGATCTTCGCGCCCCCGCAGGGGGCCTGGACATCGACAGGGTCATGCGCTGGTCCTGCCCTTTGAGGGGCCAAATTCCAGACTTGCAGCTTCGCCCCGAAGCACCCGACGCCGTGCGACAACGGCAACCGAGGTCAACCAATGACGTCCTCCCCGGCTGCAACTGTCGTTGAGGCCCCCAAAAAAGCTGCACCAGCCTCCGCAGAACCGTTCCCTGCGAGCCGACACACACACACACACAACTCAACACGTCCGACATGCACCGCACGCGCGACTTACTTGAGCTCCTTGGACTGCATCGGGCCCAGGCAGCAGGGCAGTTCGTGCTTTTGTTCCCCGATGTGCCACCTAAAGCATGCTGTTGTGGTCGGACCCAGGACAGAAGAGCATCCTTCAAAAACATGAGACCCTGCGCCGACCCAAATAAACTGAAGAACCTTCGAGGGTGCCCTCCCCCAGGATGCACAAGAAAATCCAACACCAAGCACGACGAGCTTTAGCGTACCCTCCCCGCGCCGACGTCGATCTTATACCTCGGTCCGACCCCACACCTGACACGTCTGGCCCTCTCCCAGGTGCTTCGACGCGACGGAACGCCAGGGTGGCACTCCTCTGGGCCTCGAAGCTCGGGCTGCAGATCGAACCTGCACCAATGAAGCTCAGTGCAGGCGAGATCGGAAAATCCAGGACCCCGCCCTGCATGGTTTTTCGGAGGAGAGAAAGAAGGCACCCATACCGCTCCCTCCATCGCTTTCTCGGGGATGGACAGAACCCCCTTTAGCAAAACGCGGTTTAGTGACAACGACCTGGGGCCCAAACCTGGAGGGCGCAAGCCTGGAAGATGACGGCCGCGGCGCCCTCTCGAGAACCGAAAACGGACAATTCACTAATCGACGTGTCAGGGTGGGGGTTCTGTCCAGCCCCGAACATGGTTTTTCGGAGGAGAGAAAGAAGGCACCCATACCGCTCCCTCCATCGCTTTCCTCTTCTCGAGACTCCTGGGTGGCCCTCGTCGACCCCGCTGGATTTTCGCCTCAAGACTCCGGGCAGCAGGCGCACCGGGAGAGGTCCGCGGAGCAGCTGTATCCAAGGGCTCCCAACTTCGCGCTTCGCGCTGCGCGAAGCGCGAAGTGCGAATAACTTCGCGCTCTCGCGCCGCCCCCCCAAAGGGAGAAGAGGAGGACGAGGAGGAATGGGAGAAGGAACGAGGACCGCGAAGCGCGAAGCGCGAATAACTTCGCGCCCTCGTGGGAGCCCTTCTGCATCGGTACCTTTTGGTTTCTCCCGTTTTCACGACGCCGTGGGACCAAGGCCTGGCTTGACGCCGAAGGCATATCCACTGGCCGATCAAGCTGTGTCGGTACCTTTTGGTTTCTCCAGTTTTCACGACGCCGTGGGACCAAGGCCTGGCTTGAAGCCGAAGGCACATCCACTGGCCGATCAAGCGCCAGCGCTGGACCGACCGATCTGGAGCACCCCCCCCCAGAACAACATCGGTCCGGACACGCCCGTAGTCAGACCGCCGGTGCATCGACGAAGCACACGCAAGGACCCGGCATGGTGGGTGCACCGATGCTGCGACACCACGCACACACACACACATGCCGACTGCAAAGCTCGACCCAAATGAGAAATGCGCAGTTTCCTGACACGGCAAACAAACATCGCAAGCCCCTTCTGCGAGTGAGATCGGCAGATCCTGGAACGGTAAACCTACTACTTCAATGCTTGTAGCTCTCCGATGCCTTCCTACATTGGGCCTCGGGTGGATGAGAACATGATGGCACTTGATGCGCAGCCTCACTTATCTCGTCACGAGCTTCGGATTCCTCCACGCTGCCAGGCTAGGTATTGACAAGTCTAGCGCTGCTTCGAAAGTCCAGGCCATGACCCTCGCGACCTCGGCCGTCTACCGAATCGGCGACCGAAGCTCCTGCCAGGAGGCGCCCTGAGGCGCACCCCCGAACCGACCTCGAGGAGGAGGAGGAGGAGGAGGAGGAGGAGGCGGCGGCGGAGGAGGAGGAGGAGGAGGAGGAGGAGATCGGGATCATCTTCCCCCAGTGGAGGCACGCCGCCGATCGTGGTGCTGGTGCCAGCCTCCTCTTCAGCCTCCGATGTCTCCCCTCCGAGGCTCTCGGGAGCGGGCGGGCGGGCCCAACGGCGAGGAGGTGCGGGGCCACACTGCGCAGGTCGGGCTCCGCGCCCCCCCCCCCCGCGGAACGAGATCGCGGGTTCAAGCGCTTTCTTATCCGGCGTTTCGGCATTGGGCTGAAGGGGGGTGAGGAGGGGGGGGGGGTTCTGGCTCCGAACCTCTGCTTCATGCGACTGCTTTCAGCAGTGCGTCCTGTGGGGGAGGCTCCGGGCTCCGCCTGCTTGAAACAGGCGCCAAGAGCAGCCAAGACCTACTCCATGAAGGGGGGGGAGGAGGGGTGCGAGGGCCCGCGCCGATCGGCAAAACAATGCATAATTAAGAGAACGATCACGATTGCAAGCGTGCTCCATGTGTTCGTGATTCGCTCGGACCTGGGACAGAATAACATCTCTCAAGCACGCGAGGCCCGCCGCCGGCGCCCCAGCCGAAGAGCGGAGCAGGCGAGCACACGAAAAAACCCTCGAAAAACCTCAAGGACATCGATGACTTTCGCTCCTGGAGCCGCTCTCGGGGATGAGCTCGAAGCGCTCTCGGTGCGCCTCGGAGGCTGCCTGAGCCTGCGTCGGAGCCATGGTGGGCGTGCCGGGGCCGCTGGGGGGCTCCATGGGCCTCGTTTGAGGCCCCTGTCACGCGTCCGAGCTGTTTCGGGGGGAGGGGGGGGGGGCCGCCTGGACCCCCCTGGGGCGATGCTTTATGTGTGTTTTGTTTTTTTTTGTTCGGCGCCTGCGCCGCCCTCAAGGTCATAGCCGCATCCGCCTCGAAGGTTCGATCTGGAGTGCGCCTCGGCCGACTCTCGAGGCAGTGCAGAAAGCTGAGTGCGCCGGCTGGCAAGACCTGGAGGGTGGGCCGGAGTGCACGGCGTTCAAACCTTCACCTGGCACTCGAAGCCCTCAAGAGCTGATGCCTCCGCCACACGCCACAGGCTGCATCGGCCAAGAATTGGATCCTCTTCACACGTACCGCTCTTCCTCAGACCTTGCTGCGCGTGGCCAGTCCACTTCTTTGAAAGGCCCATAGAAACCGTTGTAGAGCTGCCAAGCCGCCTGCTTGCACTTCGGGCTGTTCCTGTGCGACTGGCGCCACATGGTTTTTGCCTGACGCTCCAGCTCGGCTTTCATAGTCGCAACCACGTGTGGATGACGTGCGCTGGATTCAGTTTCTTCGCGTGGATCTTGCACAACATTGTACAAGCACCCCTGAACTGGGCAATTGAAAGAATGCTTATCGATTGAGTCGGTAGCACTCGAAGCATTGGGATAATGAGGTCCGCCGTAAGCTGCTTCAATCATATTTGTCCCACCCTTCACATACTTCCATTCCCCAACAACGATCATGTTGGCAGTGACTAGGAAGCTGTCACGCGGAGATGTCAGATTGCGTCCGCTGAGCATTGGCCATACATCGAGGGAGTCAATGGGGGGAAGACCAGACTCAGCAGCCCAATGATCAGTTGGGTCAAGCCCAGCTATGCCCTCAGTTAGTGTCCGGTACCAATCAGCAATGTGAATGATGCCTTCAAGTTTTGAACCCCTTACCGCCGTGGGCAAGTAACCGCCACTGGCAAAGGCGTTCACACGAATGCCACCCTCAAAGTTGCTGTACTTTCCACCACGCAATGGGTAGTTGTTCGCACCAGCCTCACCATTGTCACACGCAGTTCCATGGCCAATGTCCGTGTCCTCTCCGGCCCCCAACCAAGATGAACCAGTGGTGTTGCATGGACCATTGGGATTTC